CTACAGCCTATGTTTCTCAACCTACATTTTTCATCTTTGTAATCAACACCATAAATTTGACTACCACCATGGCCACGACCACTCTCAAACAACTTCTTAATGATTAACTGCTTTACAAAGGCATAGAAATGTTGACAGTAGCGGTGGTAATTTTGTTCTCTGAATCAAATAAAAGTATCATTAACGTTATAGCTATAAGCGTTCTAGCGGCACATATGGAGTAAAGAAGGGGAGAGATGAACAACAATCCGAGCCGTAGGGCGATAATTCATTGAGAAAGGGCCCCATTTAGCGTGGATTCTGGGACTGAAACTCGGATTTTCACTAGGCATGAAGTCCAGAATGCTGGTTAAAAGGGACTAAATTTGGTTTATATTCATTCAAAATTCTATCGTATCGTATTCGAGCGCAGTCGTTCCCTCATCAGTATTCTAGCAACAGAATTCGAGAAGAAAATCAAAAAAGAAACTAAATGGCAAGGTGTTCGCCTAGCGAAACATTATAATTAGGTTCCAGAAAAAAAAGCAAACTGAAATAACTCACATTGGACTTTGCCCCGCTTTTAACCGAGCCGAATCATCAATGAATGGTAGTGGCTTTTCGGAGTCACCAAGCAGACGTTCTTCTTCCTCATTATCAAACAAGCCGAAGCATGTGCCATTGCTTGTTGTTGTAACGGTAGGCTGCGCACGATCTCCGGACATCGTGCGCTTTGCCGTAATATGATCGAGAGACCGCCGCCTTGACGTCGATGGAACGCCGTTGGTATCTTCATGGATGCATGGTTCCGGCAGTATAATCTTCTGCATTGACTCATCCTGCTCGGGCACGGTTGACATGCCTAGACGACAAAAATCAGAGAAATATTAGTAATGGGATACTGTTTCCTTGATATGACTTTCATAGACGATCATGCAAAAAATCCTACAGAAGATGTTTCACTTGTCTCAAGAATCTGGAGACATTTATTCAATATGACCTAATGTTTCGGTCATCGTCTTCAGAAGCGTGAAAATGAGCACTATGAGTATACGAGTATCAAAATTAGGTGCATGGAGAGGGAACGGCGTCATTTGCTCTTGAAGCACGCTCT